GAGCATCCAATTGAGCCCCACATATTGTGGATAAAGTGTTTATCTTGTATCTACTAGGAATGCTTTAATTTAGTATGTACAAGGTCATTTAATGTATGATTTCTTTTTTCTGTCAATAAGATGTTATTAAAAAAGCTCCTCAGAATATGCCTACAAATGTTAACAAATAAACAACATTAATGAATTTGTATAACATCTTGATTTTTTCCTAATTATCAATAAATCAATCGATTAATTAATTTATTTTCTTTAATTATTCATTCATTGTTTCATTTATTTAGCATTCTATTGTTATTATTTATTTATTCATAAATAATTTGTTTTTAATAATTATTTTTTTAATACAGTGTATTTTGGGGGTTACTATTTAAGTCCTCTTTTTTGAAAATAATTACTTCAAAGATAAAATAATATGTCATTTGTCCTCATCATGTTATAATTTTGGCACATGTGAAAATGCAAGCATTTATAATTCATTACAAGATAAAGACCCTTAATGAGCCTCCACTTTTCATTTCTGAATTCCGGACTTTTGTGTAACCACATCGTGAAAAACAGAATTTGACCTACATTGCCAACTTTTTAATGCAGCCGTCTGCAGAGGAATGCAATGTAGCTGTATCAATTTACAATCTGACATCCACCAAAACCACATCCTAGCTAGCAAAGATTCGAAAAAAGGGAAGACAGAAATGAACATAGAACAGAATTGAATAAATTTATTTGAAAATCAGAAGGAAATTGGGCATAAAAATATAACATATATAAAATTAAATCAGATATGCATGTAATTACAGAAATACACAATAAATTGTATTCAAATTAATTAGTAATAGAAATCTTGAATTTTCATTATTATTTTTCTTAATTCAAAAGAGAATGCTATTTGTTCAACTATACAATTATAAAAGGAACCCGCTTTTTTAAAACTATGAAGAAGATACTTAACATTATCTCGATTTTTCAACAAAGAATATGTGCACATACATTGTAATATGTCATATTGCGATTAATTATCTGGCAATTCCTCTTTATAAAGACTTACGAAATGGCTGCAAACTACTAGTGTCATTTGTTAAATTATTGAAATGAGATAAAAATTATTAACTGATTTAGATATCATATCAACCTTTCATGATCTCTTATAGAATTACTGGAGAAACGAGTGTTAAATTCTCTCAAATGTATGCCAAACTCCAAAGTGTAAGGTTTAAAGGTCAAAAGTACTCAATGGAAGGTCTTGTTACAAGGAATACACATGTGAAATATGAAAACCCTGTCCAAAAGTTATGACCAAAGTTGATTTTTTTAGAAAGTGGGTCAAGCTTTTAGGTCAAGGTCAGAAGGTCAAAAATATTCTACCAGTTGAAAGGTCTTGTCACAATAAGTACATGTGATTGATTGATTGATTGTATATTGTTAAACGTCCCTCTTGAGAATTTTTCACTCATATGGAGACATCACCGATGCCGGTGAAGGGCTTCAAATTTAGACCTATACTCGGCACTCAGGGCCATGGAGCAGTGAGGGTTCTTTATCGTGCCAACGCCTACCGTGACACGGGACCTACGTTTTTAAGGTCATATCGGAAAGACCCGTGACTTTCACTACTAGTGCCGAGCGCTTGGCGAAGGAACAGTCACTACCTATGTTTACGTCTTAGGTATGACGCGGCGCCGCGATCGAGAATCGAACCCGGGCCTCCCGATCACGAAGCGAACGCTCTACCACTAGGCTACCGTGACCGGTAAAGTACATGTGAAGGGTGAAGGTCCTTGATCCAACTGTTCAAAAATTATTTCTATTTTAAAAATGTTGCATTTTTTTGTAAAATAGACAAAACGCCGAGGTCAAGGTCAAGAGGTCCAATTGACCTCTAAATAAATGAGACAAACCGACTCAAAGAAAGGTCTTGTCACAAGGAATACACCTGTGAAATATGAAAGCCACTCACTCAATAGTTATGAACTAGGTTACAGTTGACATCAGACAGACAGAGAGACAAACCGACAGACCGGAAAAAAACAATATATTCTCGGGATCTTTCAATCCGGGGCATAAATACCCTTTTACTTTTGCTTTATTTACAAATTAAATGATTCCCATGCAAATATCAAGTCTTCTTTCATTAATTGGATATATACCGTAAATCTGGAAAATTTTGCTGTAGATAAATTTTTAGCAAATTTGCGAGTTCATTACATTCGCAAAAATATTTATCTTAAAAATAAATCACCAATAACAAAATGTAAACAAAACAGTGGTCATTCGCAAAATTTTGAAACGTTAAAATAAATCAACAGCATTTTGACCCGAATTCGCAAAATAAAATCGACGAAAAATTTCCAGATTTACGGTATGCATAAAGAAATATACGTATGTTTTAACGAAATCTGTTGGTGGTCTATGGGAGTTTGAATTAAAAACGTAGAAGACCATCATTAATAGTATTAAGAGATTTCCAACCAAATTCATTGAATAGATTTCATAACTTTCAACATGAACTAATGCAGGGCATTGAAAAATAATTAAGATAATGCTAAAAATACAAAATATATAAGTCAATATTATATATATCTTATTGTGGAAAGTAGTAAATAGCTGACAAATCTAGTGTTAAAATATCATTTGGATTTCAAATTCCTATATACTTTCACTTCAAACTCATTATATTGATGATATAAATGTAAAAATTATCAAGGGATATAGGCATAGAAAATGTCTAGATGTTGATTACATTAAAGTAGTAAAAGCTGAACTCAAGTTTCTTATTTTCGTTTGCTAAATCTAATGTTAAAAACAAATTTTGCCTTTTTTTACAGCACATATGATTTTCGTGCAAGTCTATTGTTAAAATTATTCCTTGGAATTCTTATGTATTCTCATCTGATTTACACCACTTCTTGAATATATTGTTGCAAAGTACTCTTAAAGTTTCTCCTTCACTACTGTTAACATCTTAGTGAGGAATAAAGAAAGATGCATTTAATGAAACTCGCTATTATCTTTGTTTGTAATGATTTTATATTTTGAAGTTTCGGAATCCAATACAGATATTTGCCATGAAATTCAATAAAAAGTTCATTTTTGTAAAATCACAGGATAAATAATATTCCTCCAAATATATACTTTTATATTGTTTTATTTCATGGTTTTTCAGAAATGATTGAATAGTGTATGTCATCTTCATTCGTTATTAATGCACTGCATATGTACACGCTAGAATTTAAGATATATATTATTATGAATTTCAATAAAAACTAAATAAAAATATAACATGATGTACATGTACCTTGAAATTTTTCATTCACAATCAATTTACAAATGAACTCAAATAAAATCTTTTAAAACAGACAATGTTTGGGTCTATTTAATTCATGTTCTGAGTATATATAGCCACCTTAAGTATTATATTGCGAAAAGTAGTGCACAACTGACAGACTCATTTTAAAAAGAATATCATTTAAATTACATAATAAGAGTGGGTCATCCATTAAGTAACAAAGAGTATAGAGGACAGATTCTTTGCCTTGTCATGTACAGAATCCTTTCTACGTTATGTGGCTTTCAAATCATATCAAACATCAATATGAAATTATTGTAGACACAAAAGTGATAGATTTCACATTATCAAGTCATCTTATTTATATTAGTAATTAGAGTTAGATAAACCTTAATCTCAAAGGTTTGTTTTTATAAATGTGCACAAGGGTTTTAATCCAAAAGAAATCTGCATTTAAGTCTGTAGATCACATGAATTTGAAATAAGAAACATAATACGAAAGGACAATGATAAAATCAATATATATAATTACATTAATATGGTATACATAAGCTTGACATTTAACTCCAGGTTGTAGTAAAAGTGGATCGTCATATTCTTTTTTTAATACATTTTAATTTAAAGAAATCGCTCCTTGCAATTATACTGTATTTATTGAAAATGGAGGATTTTTACAAACACATATGCTTTACGTTTGCTTTAGCAATCAGTTATATTGGAAGCACACTCAAACATTTTCTGCTTTAAAGTATTTGTGCTTATGTGTACATGGGAATATTTCTGAAAACAAAATGTTCTAATAATGATTAATAATATTAAACCCGTTGTAATATTAAAAGATTTCTATCTTTATTCATAATCGGATTGTTTCAAACTCTAACCTGCATTCTTACGAATTTTATCAGAGCATTATTAGAGTAAAAAAGTATATACCATCTCTTTGCATTTGAATTGAAATAACTCTACCAATAGTGAATGGCTTAACTTCATACGAATTCCCCAAAACGAAAATACATAACAATTTCTAGACAATATACTTCCAAGCAACTTATTAACTCCCCAGTTCAATATCAACAGAAAGGAAGGGGAAAACCTCAGGAGTACCACACATCAATATATTCAATAAAGATGTAAATCATATGTAGATGCATCAAACATTATAGGAAACTTCAAGAGAATTTGAATTAAAAAAACTTTTACCAAAATCAATAAAATCAAAAAATATAACGTTACAACATCTTTTCTGTTTTTCTATTCTAACTGTTAGGCGGTTTTTTACACAATAAATTGTCTAAGAATTTTCCCGATCATGACAAGGATTACTCTAGGAAGTGACCAGTGTGCATGGAATGTTCACTCCTTCTGGGCACATGATCCTGTTTCAAGTTGTTTGGAGGTCCGCGTGGTTTCTTTACCCATAATATGTATTTTTGAATGAACTTTTTAACTTGAATATTGTTCATGATCTTCGTATCTAGTCAACAAATAAATATAAGAGCAATTGATATTGTGCTAAATACTTTATTGCGTTTTATTTATTTATTTATACTCAACCTTATAACCTTCAGAATAGGAGTCCACATTTTATGTCGTTTTGCATTCAGTATTCAATACTAGAAAGATTCCGTCGAAAGCTTACAGAGTAAGTGCACTTCAAATCAGAAGAAAACTTCAATTGATTACAAACTATTGAATACAAGAAATTAAAAGACTCAAGATCTGAATACATTATTTTTATTGTTACATGCAATACGTCGCCACTGTGGAACAATGGTTAGAGTGTCTGCTCTAGGGCTGCAAAGTAAGGAGTTGATTCTTACGTCGCCTCTCGGTTCGAATCCGACCGTGGAACGGGGAGTCCGGTCCTTTGGATGAGACCTTCTATAAAAGTCCTGTGTCGCAGTAGGAACTGGCCCGTAAAAGAGCCCTCCCTGCTAAGTGGCCCTGACGTCCGAGTATAGGAAAACATTTGCAGGTCTCCAGCGGCAAGTGGTAACGTCTCGATATTAGTGAACATTTCTCAAGGTGGACGCTAAACATGAAATGTTAGTAAATATCCCTGCAAAATAAAGTTTAAGTTTTGTTTCTTCAAAATATAATAGTTTAAATTTTATATCATTTTGAGAAGAATAGCTGACAGATCCCTTGTTGAAGCCTGTGATGCAAATTCATTTATAAGTCATGAGAAAATATCAATGGAAAATTGAAATAACACGGAAATTATTGACTTTGTGATCTAAAATATTTTTGAATAAGATACTAATTGAAATTAAAAGAAATAATAATAATTGCATTCCTAAAACATGTCTCAAAGAACGGGTAGGATACAATCATGACTGAATTGTAAAATTAATATCAAAAATGAATATCATAGGATGGGTTTATGAGACTTACTCTTTAGAAATTGTTTGGATAGTTACACAATTTATATGTCCAGGATGGAATATATGATGAATATCCAAATATTATGTCAGATATAGACAAATCCCGAAGATGTCTTATTTATCATTACCTTGCAGATAGTTTTACCCTTCAGTTGTACTTATGTCAAACAAATTATTTAGAATATAGAGTAATAATAATCAGATTAAGACGATTTACGTATAACGCATTGATTGAACAAGAAGAAATATTAAAACTATGAGCATAGATATAATAGACAATGATTTTGTAATGTTCGTCAATTTGGTGACATTGATAATGATTTTCATTTTGTGCTAAAATATTCACATTTTTATACATTTCGACAAAATACTTGAAAAGTTACTACCCAAGAAAACTAAGTGTCTTAAAATTGATACAGTTATTAAGTACGTTATGTCATAGATTGTTCAAGAATAAGGTTACCTAGGGTAAATTTTACAACTAGCGAGTTTATCAAGAACAGTGTCTTTAACTTATTTATAAATTACTGAATCTATTGAATTTGAATGAATTGTACATGACGTATGTTAATTTTATAAGTTTATGTGTTAAAATCTATTACAGTAAATATTGTCTCTGAGAGGTATGTCTCTTGACTTCAATAAACTGAACTGAACATATTGTTCAATTTTTTCTGGGAGATACTGGGTTCGATTCTCGTTAACGTTAAACGTTTAACGTTGGAACGCTAAACGCATCTTACGTGGGCCAAGAATTTTCGGATATAGAGTGTCAAAGGCATATAATTTATATTATATAAAATTACATATAAAATTGACTCACCAATTTCTCATGTTCTGTAACTAAATCAAAATTTAATAAAAAAAAATAACTCTGCCATTCACTTATAAAATGATTGATTCTTTTATAATTATTTATATTTTTAGATTTGTTTATAAATGAGGAGATTTAGGAAATGAACAATTGTTCATGCTTATGTGCACATAGATATTTGGATGAAAAAAGCATCATTCAAATATTTATTTGTAGGATATAAATCATACAATTTCAGAGGGTTTATATGCAGGGCACTAATAAAGTAATGAAGATAATACTTGACGTACAACTACATGTATCTCCTTAACATCATCCAAATAATGTGTCACATTGCAGTAAGTTGTATAAAGCTGAAATGCCCCTTGCCAAAATCTTCTCAGCATTAGAATTTATTTAATTATAATTGATTATTATGTTAGTGAAGTCGAAAATAGATGACATATCCATAAACTTGCTCAAGTCTGTATGTTTTTATTGTTTTGTTTTTTGTACTTTGTACATTTTTGCATTGCTGTCTTCTGCTATCTACCACAGTTAAATGTTATCAAAGGTTTGACATTATTAAAAAGTATGAAAGAGAGCACGATGACGTACAGACTTGAGCAGGTCTAATTTCTTAAATTTATTTATTTATAAAATTGATTATAGGCTTGCTCAATCATATACAGTATTTCGATTTCAAATTATTAGAAAAAAATCTGAAGGAGCCATTATTATAAATTTCATGAGATCTAGACATCGTTTTAATTTTTTTGGTAAGAGTTGATTATAAACTTCCCGCATTCTCTCATTAAAATTTCTGTGTATTTATCAAAAGTATTATTTCTCTGAAAATATGCACTAAGTCCTTTTTACTCAATTAATTGATTTAGAAGATATACTGACAGATTTCCCTTTTTAATGGATTTACTAGTGCTTTTGTGCTTATGGGACATTTTCAATAAGATTTCAAAATCCAAGCATGTGTATCCTGCATTTGGATTTCCATTCATTAGAAAAAAAATATCATTTGAATTACATGAACATGTTAGAAAAAGAATTACGATGTTTTGTCATTTAATTAGTTTTTAAAAAACCCCTACTTTCCGTTTTATTTGTATAATGATTGATTCTCATTATGTTGAAAATAAAAATGTGCTCGTACAAATTGTCTGTTTTAAAAAGCGTTGTCTGCACCGATTTGATATGGAAAATTTGATGAAACCTACCTTTTTCTATTAGTTCAGCGATGTCTATCCTAAATAAAAAAAATTGCTTTATTTCTTACATACACTAATGCATAAAATAATGCAGAGGTACATTAACGGTAAATGCAGATATCGATTACACTAAACATTCAATTAACTCTTTACATCATCAAAATATATCTGTCCATATTTTTATCATATTGTGATTAGAAGTAAGTAGCTAACAGTACTCTTGCAAAAGACTAAGCAGTATGTTTATTTGAGTTTTTTCATAAGAAAATTATAATGACAAGAACAGGTTAGATATAAAAATTCATCATTATGTTACAATTTTCTCTCATCAAGTTAAATAAAAATCCTTTATTGACTTTAATGATTTCATGCAAATATATCAGTAAATCATATCTGAATCATGTAGTAAATAATTGTTTAAGATATACACATATACATGTATCTGTTATCATAATTCGAGTTTTTATTCAAATTGAGAACATATAACTTGCACATGTATAACTTCATATTGTCACTGAAGTATAGATGTCTAGAAAATAAGACTGTATAGAAAATAAGAAGTATAAATGTTTAGATAATAAACAGTAAGCTCATTAAATGTTAAATTGATAATAATCTACACAAGATTCTATATGTAAATTCATACTGCGAAAATAATTTACAGATTCCTTGCTAAATCGTGTACATCATATGTTTTTCAAGTCATCAGAAAGTTCAAACGGGTATTTCATAAGAATTCTAAAGACTAAAACTGATCATACTATACAATTATAGCCTTTTGATGAGGTAAATCTCTCGATATATAGACCTTAGAGAAAGCATATCGACCGAGCACGAAGTTATTTTTTATCAGTTAATAAGAAGTGTCTTAAAATCCTTCTTTCTAATACTCAATACCTTCTCATACAAGGCATTGTCATGTCATCTACATTATGACGTCACAGTAACTGTTTTTAGAAACATCCAGTTTAAAAAGACTATTGTTGTTTTACAGAAAAACGTTTCGAATTTTAGAAACAGCAGGTTTATAAATGTTTAAAATAGAAACATCCAGTTTGTAACACAATTTATACTTGATCATGTGATCCTGTTTGAGCCAATCAGATATTTGGAACAATATAGAAAAATAATAACAATATTGTTCATATTTGTCGCTCTGCATTTTTGAAATTTCAACCAAAAAATAAGGAAATAAATTCATACAGTGTCTTGTTTTCATGTTCACATTGGAATTTGGGTGAATGAGTATTAATGTAACATAATAATTATCATACCCCTGCATGAAAAGTGGGAAGGAATATAGCGATCAGGATGTCCATCCGTCTGTTACGCTTTGGGGTACCCTTCTCTTAACCGCAATCCTCTTATACAATTCAGTGAAAGAATGTACAGAAACTTTCACAGAATCTTTGTTACATAGTGCCATTATATTGTGCACCTCCTATTTTACCTTTTGTTCAGACACATTTCCAGGTTCCCCATAGCAAAACATGGACACTTCCATTCTTTCTGTAATATATATGTATATACACATCTCTTATCCGCAACTCCTTTTTGTACTATTTGATGATATTGTTATAGATTCTTTGTCACATAATGTCATTTTGCACCTCTTATTTTATATTTTGGTACGACACTTATTTTGTGTTGGCTAGAACAAAACATGGACCTTGCCATTATAATGGAATGGGAGGCGGGGTATAATTTAGTGAGCGCAGTGATCACAGTACCTTTGGTATTTTTTATGCATTTTATCTCAGATTCAAAATAGGATTTTTTAATTTCTGTCATGCACTTTTGTAGGGACTGACCAAAGTATTCAAGATGACACGAAATATCGGACTACCATTATATCTTTACATCATCAAAATACAAAAGTTTTCGTTGATATATTGTGATATGAAGTAAAAAGCTTTCTACACTCTGTACAGCATGTTTATTTCAAACCTTCAGAAAATATAGATGGAATATGATCATAACAATAAAAATAATATCTACTTTGACCTACAAATATGATATGATTAAAGTGATATATTGTTTAATTGTGCCACACCGCTTAATGTTCGGGGGGATACTTGTCCTGTACCTCTTCTAGCTTAAGACACAATATAGGTCGTTACTATTCCTTCACAGATCAGTGAAGTAGAAGAAAAAGTAGCTGGTTTTTCGTAAATAGAGTGGCCTTGAGATGTCGTTACTTCAGTTAAAAAAATGGAACATCATTAGAATTTGTATGAAATGTCAACATATAAATCCAACCTGTTGTAATATTAAGAGCTATCTATCCTTGTTTAAAATTTAATTTTTTAAATCATACTCTGCACTTTTGTTGGGTTTTATAAAAGTAATGGTTACATTTAATACATTCAGTTATCTCCTTATGTCAGCATAACATTATTGTTCAAATTAAATGTCATATTTCAATAAGTTATACATGCCCGAAGGATCCTATACAAAGGCATCACAGCTTTTCAATAAATTCACGAGAAACGTGGATCTTTTCAATTAAGTTTAATACCAAAAATGTGACAGATTACTTGCCGAAGTCTACATAGCACGTGGATTTCAAACCATAAGAATCGATAGGAAATTATTGTAATAACATGAAAACGATAAAAGATTTAAACATACATTTTGCCAATGTTTTAATCAATTAGTAAGATAGGTTGGTGATCATGATCTACTGGTGATGTTCTCTTAAAAAGTAACAGGACCTTTAATTCATGAAAGAACTTACTTCTCTTAAAATGTATATTGAAAGGTTTCTTTCATTCAATGAATAGATGTAGGAGATACTTTCATACATTTTCAATATATATCAAATGATTTGCCTGTGATCATTTGCACGTGCACATTTTCAGAGACAAAATAAATCAATATCTATACCCAAATGAATTCAAAATCATATATTTAATAAATATCTTTTTTAAATCAAATACATCACAGATAATTTCCAAGACTTACTATAATCACGTAATACATAATATTATTCATTCTTTTAAGAAATAACTCTGAGAAAGTTAACGATAGGAAGGGCTTTTCAATTAAATAGATGCAACCAAAATGCAAAGTATTTCATTCATTCTATAATAAACTTTCAAAAGCGACATGAAGAAAAGGAAAATGATAAATAAATGATAGTTCAATTTAAATCTAATGAACGTCAACTTAACTTATTACAGATTATCCGCCAGGCATATCAAAAGAAGATGTAACTTGCCATAGGGATCTGAATTTTGTTTAGCTAATCAAGGAATCATCAATAAATTTAACCTGGCTTGTATTTCGTATTTTTTTAAATTGGTAAATGATTTCAGACTTTTTACAAGAAAGAAAAGTGAGACCCAGGGGCCACATTGCTCACCTGAGCACTGTAGCTAGGATTAAATAATCAATTAGCATTGGAAAGCATAAATGCATTTTGATCCCGACCTACGCCTCAAAGGGAGTTGGTATGATTTGAATAATATTGAATCTGCACTAAGTATGCTTACCGGGTACATATTTCTTTTCACTGACTGACTCACTCTTCCCCTGGGAGTTATGATATGAACAAATATAAATCTACCCTTTCTGAGGATGCGTCCATATAAATATAACCTACCATTGCTTTATTGTTCTTACGAAGAAAATTTTTAAGAATTTCTTCTATATATTTCTATGTAAAACTTGAATCGTCTTTTAAATTGTGGCCCCATCCTTCACCCGGAGGTCATGATTTGAACAAACTTGAATATTCATCTCTTAAGAATGCTTTCACTTAAATATGGCCAATCAAGGCTTTTTTTGCTGTTCTTGAACATAAGAATTTTAAAGATTCCCCTGTCATATTTTTATATAAAAATTTGATCGTCCATTGTGGGCACATCATTCTCGGGGGGGGGGGGGGGGGGGGGGGGGGGGATGATTTGAACAAAATTTGAACCACCTCAGAATGCTACACAATAAATATGACCAATCATAGCTTAGCTGTTCTTGAGAAGATATTTTGAAGAGATTTCTCATAAACGTCTTTGTTAAAATTTGTTCGGTTATATATGTAGCGACCCAACCCTACCCCCTGAGACTTTATACATTGTATATAGTTTAAAATAAAACGTTTCTATCTTACTTTCTTGAAGAGAGAACCTCATTAAATAAAGAAATATAGATCCAAATGTAAAATATTTGTATACCTGTCAACAATTCAGCTTCAAGAGGTGAATGATTTGTGCAAAATTAATCTTAATACATCTCTACTCATGAGATTTGTTGTTTTGTTTTTGGTTAGGCTTGGTTTGGTTGTTTTTTTTTTTTCGTTTTTTTTATTTGCACTCCCTCCTTCATATTTACAAAGCACAATTTTTTTAAATATAATTTAACATATAAATACTAGACAGGATGAAAATGCATAAACATGCAAGTAATAAACTGTTCTTTATATATCATTCTCGCAAAACATTTATTTGATATACAATCTTTTTCATTTTACATATAAAGTTAATAAAAAAAAACATATTTAGATTGAAGGATATATTAGTTCATCAGTTTAATTATTTCTTTTCAGGGAAAGGAAGAATGCATTGAATTGAAATTGAAACATAAAATTCATTTTAACCTTACCTCAAGGATTTTGATTGCATTTTTGTTAACATGCACAAAGAGACATTTTGACTTATTTCAATATTTTTATTTTGAATGTGCATTCCCTCCTTCATATTTCACATGCACAATACGACATTTTGACTTATTTCAATATCAGCAAAGTAAGCATCTATTTTTGGCTTTTTGAAAAGTGCCAATTACTTTAAGTAAACTTTCTTGAAACTGAAATGTCCTCTTAATTTAAAGGACATATTTTGAAAAAAAGAAGTGAATTTCTTTTTATATTATCCACACTAGGACTTGAACCTAGATATACCATAAGTAAATTATGGTCGCTTTTCCTTAAGCTATCTGGATGTAAATAAAGAAATTGCATCTTCCCTTTTCAGTTAAAATTAACTCAATATTATTCTTTGTTCCCAGAATACAATCTTTATCAAAATTAAATGCAACGTAAGGCAAAAAAAAAAAAAAAAAATACAAAATGCAATGAATGTGTTTAATGGATATACAGTATACAGTTAATTACACATTGATCATAAGAAAGAATGTCACTTTTGAGAAAATATTACCAAACTTAAAACAAACACAAGGATTTTGACTTATTTCAATATCAGCAAAGTAAGCATCAATTTTTGGCTTTTAAAAAAGTGCCAATCATTTTAAGTAAACTTTCTTGAAACTGAATTGTTATCTTAATTTATCTAAAGGACATGTTTTGAAAAAAAGAAGTGAATTTCTTTTTATATTATCCACACTAGGACTTGAACCTAGATATACCATAAGTAAATTATGGTCGCTTTTCCTTAAGCTATCTGGATGTAAATAAAGAAATTGCATCTTCCCTTTTCAGTTAAAATTAACTCAATATTATTCTTTGTTCCCAGAATACAATCTTTATCAAAATTAAATGCAACGTTAGGCAAAAAAAAAAAAAATACAAAATGCAATGAATGTGTTTAATGGATATACAGTATACAGTTAATTACACATTGATCATAAGAAAGAATGTCACTTTTGAGAAAATATTACCAAACTTAAAACAAACACAAGGACATAAAATGGTTGTGGCCAAAGAGGAGGTAACTCAGAAAAGGTCACCTTATTTATTTTGTGACACTGAAAATATTCTTTCCTTGTGGTGTAGTTTCCTGATTTTATCTTATATTATTTTTCAGAATACTGTTTTATTTTATTTACTAAGGTGCCTGTAAATTTCTCCAGAAAACATTAGCGCAAATATATGCCTTATTAATATGTTCTTTAATTAGTATCAATTTCTTAGTGGAATTGAAAGCATAACTTATCCTGAATTTGTATATTCATGTATATTTTAGTTGCCCTTTGGTAGATGTCTGAATTTTGTATCATTTAACATCTACAATCAATGCCAATATATTATTTCAAATAAATATTACTGCTATTAAGATTTTTTTACCAATATAAAACCTAATCATAAGATGATATAATTTTTTCTTTCTTTTAAATGAAATAATTACGATTATTTTTCTAAGAAGTAATTGTTTGGTTAAAATAAAAACAAGAAAACTAAATAATACTGGCACTTCACTTAAAAAAATCATTTTGTTTTTATTGTTTTTATTTTGTTTATGTTTTGTTGTTGTTGTTTTTATGTTTTAAAATTACACTAAATGTTTACATGAATATTCATAATGATAATTATAGTCCTATATACCAGAGTCAACCTTTTGATTAATGTTTTATTTTAATTCAAATAGATAATATAAACACACAAAACAATGAATTCTTGGAATGCTATAAGCAATAAAAAGATATTTCATAAATCACACAGACTGATAATCAAACACAATTCGTTAATTAAATAGAGAAATAGATGTGTATCGTTTAAGATGTAAATTGTTAGCAAAATAGATGGGGTGATAAGCAATCAATTTTTATATCTCTTGCAAAAAAGTTTTTTTTTTTTTTAAAAACAAGCTTACTTACGTTGAAATGATTATTTGTATGTGAAATAATATAATTCACAATCCTCAATCCTTAGCACAACAGATTCTGTAGTACAGATGAAAATATCACTACTAAAAGGAAAATAATCAACCCTTGAAAGAAGCACGCCGATAAAGTACAGATGTGCCTCTTCTTTGCACACTGAAGTAAACACATTCCATTACATCCTGTGTAATCTTTAGGTGGTACAATGAAACATACGGAAGTTCAAAGCAATTCAAAACACAATAAACGCCATTTTCAAGAACATTTTCATATTCTAAATGTAAGGCCAGAAAAGTATTCACATAAAATTGTGTGTTTGTATAGTAACACGGTCACGAACAGCATGTTTCTATATTTATCACGTAAAAACAAAAAACATTCTTCATCTACACAGACAATAAAGGTTTGAGGCTTTGAAATCTCTCCCAATTTGTACTTAAACTTTAGCAATAACACAGCACAGTTGACAAAACTCGTTTCTCACCGATGGGGTGGGGGTGGTATAATATAAACAGTGCAGCAAAAATTCTGGGCATCCTTCGAACCGATAAAGTATTAAATGTCCATTTCTATGTATAAATAATTTTAAAAAAAAAAATGGGGTGTTACTTCGCCGCATACAACTTGAAAAAAGTTACTAAAAGTTTTTCATAAACATATAAGCAAAATATATTTGTAATCCCATATTAAAACTGTACGTATCGGAACGTGTAATTGAAATTCGTGTAATATCCGGCTGCAGTAACAACATGTATCAGAACCTTGCATTAAAGTAGCTACTAAATTATACTTTTCATTTCTCATGTTTCCGCGTTTGAAATGATATAAACATATAAACATTTCTTTACTTGTAAAATACAAGTATTATTTAATCAAAAATTGACAATTTATGTTAAAAAGTATAGCAAGTATTCCTGCATTTTATCTGATTTGCATGCTGCAGAGGTCATTCAGTTCGTGTTCTGGAATGCGATGTAAACAAAACAGAGATGCAGATTGCTCAGTCAAAGAGAGGTAATCATATACATACATGTAGCGTTTGGTAGGTCAAAGTTCAAAACTGGATTTGTTTCCTATCTCAAAAGAACGTGCAAAACTATAACATCGATTTCTTTGATCTTTATCAAATTTCAGTTTGATTCACTCGAATAATCATGCCAATAATCTACGATTAGTTGCTATCGCTAAAAAAAAAAAATAATTTAATGACGTTATTAAAAAAAACCGGCCAAATATATAATGAATCTTATTTTTTTTTATAGCACAGGCGCTGTTTTTCATTGTATACAAAAAACGCAATACCACACAAATCTAATTTTTCAGTATATGCTGTTATACAATTGTGATAATATGCATGTATTAAACAATTAAAGAATAATAAAGACTAAAAAACATACATGAATGTAACATGTTTTGCACGTTTAATTTGTTTCATAATTTTAAATAACATAAATGAAATAAAACACATACATACGAAAATAAATTAAGAATGATAATTATTTTTTTTTTAAAAATGATAATGACAAGAGCATTTGTACAAAGCTTATTTTTCTTTTTTATTTCAAGTTGGAGGTTTTATTATAAATTAGACAATGTCTATTCTTTAATTGTAGAAATGTAGTATTGTATTAAATGATATAATGTACCTTGAATTTATTTTTTCCCTTCTTGTATAGTTGACGAAAAATTCTAGTAACTCATAAAGTGACCTCAATGTAGTTTACTACTAGTTTTTTACTACCAAATAATTTGATGCCAGTACTAGAGCAGGTGAAATTTAGATCCAGACCAGGACTTGAACCTGGATATTACATTAGTGATAAATGGCTGCTTTATCAATTAAGCTATCTGAATTTTTTTAAAGAAATCATTCTGCTCATGAAATAATCTTTGATTTATATTTAATATCAGCAGAAAAAGGTATTCTTACTTGAAAATAATATTAATTGATGTTTATTTGTCTATGTACATATTTATTACAGCAAAAACTATCAAGAATAAGCAAAATTAATTGAAATTTATGACATAACTAATTATAATGTTACAGGAATGTTTCAGTATTTTGAAAATATTTTAATTCAAAATATGATTTTTAAAACGCTATTTAAGTGCATTTAACAGTTATGACAGGATTCAAAGTAAGCTGAATTAAAAGTACATGTATCAAATCAAATAAATATTGGGCCAGCTCTTTAAATCTACTGTAAAAAAAGTATATAATGTGGAACATCCGTTGGAAATAAGAAATTTATTGTCTTTTTTCTCATAGACTTTGTTAATTTTATAATATTTTATCTTAATCAATAAACTTTGACCATTCAGATTTTTTTTTTTGGGAGGGGGGTGTCTGTTTTTCCCCCTTCAAAATTTAAGTTCAGATTCAGATGTAGTATTTTGATTATATATAGTATCAACTTTAAGTATGACAGAAAAGTTTTGATATTACCATGATTGTAGAAAAACAGCATGCTTGTCTCGGATAACTTTTATCCTTCACATTTTTTCACATCTGTTTTTGTTAAAGGCGAACGCCATGAAAATACACAGAGATCGGTAAAACAAACACTTGTTTAAACACTGAATGCCGTTAAATTTTCTCCATGCTTCAAAATTGTGATTCACTCTTAAACAAAGAAAACACAGATTGAAAATTCACCCAGCAAACAAAAGAACATGAATTCCTGGCTTTCCAGAGATAGAAAAAATCCATTGAATAGAAAACTCTTTCAATAATTCTACTTAATGTTATATTTCCATAAATATGCAGGCAAATACCAACGCCTCTCTTTGTAAATAGTGATCATTAGAAACGAAGCTACACGAAGTTTATTCACAATCGCCATTACTGTTTTCCTCTCATATAGGTCGGGCATGCGTACATCCCATATATACAATTGACGAAGAAAATTGAGCACAAGTATTTATAAAAGTAATGATTTCTTTTGATTTCTAGATATATATAGTGCTGATAATTTTATTGTTGTTAGATATTACGTTTCTACATAAACACTTAGAAGATCTCTCACATATATATCAAATTTAAGAAAGAAAACGACGAAAAACAGCAGTTTGCCTCTATTGGCTCACGGCAGACGACTTCGATATATACGACAGAAAAGGGTACCCTCATAAACATCGTTCAAATAATATGTCATTATTAAAATATAACACTTTAATGATACGCATTGAAACAAGAAAAGATAATTCTTTCATTTGATATAAAAATCAGGTTGCTACGCTTCAAAATAAAGGAGTATTGGAGATTTAAAAACCAGGTGGACCAATAGCGGCAAACGAAATTTTGCACCTATGTTTCGTTTGCCGCTATTGGCACACACTGACGCAATCGTTTGCCGCCATTGGTACAGATAGATCTATATATATATATATATATATATATATATATATATATATATATATATATGTTCCTTAGTTCCCCTGCCAAACGACTGAGCTTGTTTTTTGATAAACAGGCAATAACAATTAACATCATGCTGAAGTAAAATATGTCATTTATTAAAGTAAATGACGGAAAAGTAAAACACAGTTAAAAAAATGGGGGTCAGAAAAAGGAGGACTCAAATATAGAGTATTACCCATCTTAGTCAAAATATTACACAATCTGACCCCCAGCACCATACTGACATTGTAACATGATGTACATAGGCAAAAGGGGGTCAACCAGACTAGAATAATAATTCAAACCCTGTAATCTTTCACAAGGTACAATATACATGCATTTTAAGTTGACCCCCTTATAAACATCATAAGTTTGGAAGACATATACAAAATGCTCTAAACTGCTGCCTGTCATCAAAAAAGGTGGGAAAACAAAATAACAAACAGCCAATAACAATAAAATCGCGCAGGCATTAAATTGAACACAACCATGTTTCTTTCTCCGCCGAGGAAAAAACATATATAAAAGCAACATTGCTTTATGTTGAAAAATCATATGGAAAACTGCAGACCGAAAATTGCGAGGTACACAAAATAAATGTCGGACTCATTCTCAGTAACCCAATACATGCATTTGCCATTTAATACAATGTACAAAAAAATTACTTGTTCAGCTAAAACGTGCGGTAGAAATTAAGTACTATAAATCTCTTTTAAACCCATTCAAACACTATCAAAAAAGATGGGTAAAACATAGCAACAAAAATGTCAACCTGAAAGAAATAACAAGCATTGGTGGCGGATGGGGTGGATGGTGGGTTCGAAAAATTCAGCAGTTCAATAAACCATGCTTTCTCTTTTGGTAAACGGATCAATATTGATCACGTGATGGATAAGAGCTTTGCTGATTGGTTGAACCCATATTTAGATGTAGGAAAAGGTGTAAAATTAGTACAATAAAAGAACCGAAAAGCTGCTTAGTATAAAGCTATGTACAATACAGACACTGTTATATAATAACATAATAAAACAAGAACATGTCACATAAATGAAATTATTTTCAATAATTATTACATATATATATATATATATATATATATATATATATATATATATATATATATATATATATATATATATATATATATATATATATATATATTTGCATCACAGTATTGATTAATAATTTTATGTAAAAAATGACCAAACTACCGAAAAAGTAACATTTAGAGAATGAATGTTTGTTGGTTGTTTATCGTATTTTTTAAATACTTAATTTAATCAGATGAGGTTCATAAACATGCAAAAGAGTACACCAATCAAAACATTGCATTTGAACATTATTTTTTTATAGAAAGACTGTGAAAGGAAGAATTCAACTTTGGCAGAGATAAAATCGGCAGAAGAGAATGATTGGATAACGGAGCATTTACTGGACACCAAGTTTCGTGAGCAAATCAAATCTTTTAAGAAATCAACATTCTACATAAACAAAAAATATGATTAAAAAACCATGGTATTGGTAAAAGTAGACACTCCGAAATTATAAACAAGTATTAAATCGAATCGTTATTTAAAGCCGCTTAATGCGAGACAGGCACTTAATTATTATCGTACACAATAAAGTACGTCATTACATAGAAAATATATAAAATTAAATTATAAATCTGATTTAATAGTTTATTACAACAACCCTTACAAGGAAAACATAGATCAAAATCCTTATTGACAAACAGAAAACTGTCAAGAAGTTATGATTTGTTGTGAAGTCACCTCTGACAAAAATAAATTTATCGGTTTTATCTCATTATGAAAATAATTCAAACCCGAGTATTTTTTGTCCATAAATAGAAGTCATAATATAACATTATCTTTTAATTTTAAAGGAATTAAT